GAAAGGTTTTACCCCCTTCATGACCAGGCCGTTTTTTTTGTTGTGCTACTCGGCACTGCGCTACTTTAACTGGCAATTGCCCTGTCATACAACGCTGTAACCAAAAGACATTTTTAGCATTTTTTTTTCACACAAATAGAGCTTTCTTCTGGTGATATTTGATCACCACCGGGGTTTTTTATTTTTTATTCTATAAACAAAAAAAGGACAGAAAATTTTGGGGGAAAAAACCTTTACTTTTCTGCTATAAAACATATAAAAAAAAAAAAAATATATATATATATATATATATATGTATGTAATATTGATGAAGGGGAAATGGAGGAACCAGAGAAGGCAAAATATAAGCAGATCAACCACCTGTGGAAGGTGTTACCCCCTTCATAACCAGGGCATTTTTTTGCTATTCAGCACTGTGCTACTTTAACCAACAATTGTGCAGTTATGCAACACTTTATCCAAATGGAATTTATATCTATTTTTTCACACAAATAAAGCTTTCATATGGTGGTGTTTTGTGTGAGTTTATGTGTGTGTGTGAAAAAGACAGAAAATCTTGAAAAAAAATGATATTTTCTACTTTCTTTATAAAAAAAAAAAAAAAAACAATAAAAAAATCCAATTTCTTCATAAATTTAGGCCAAAATGTATTCTGCTACATGTCTTTCGTAAAAAAAAAAAAACAATAGTGTATATTGATTGGTTTGCGTGAAAGTTATAGCATCTACAAACGATGGTATATACACTGGAATTTTAATTTTATTTATTTTTTTTATACGAGTAATGGTGGCGATCAGCAATTTATAGTGGGACTGTGATAGTGTGGTGGGCAATCCGACACTAACTGACACTTTGTTGGAACTGAATGCCACTGACTTCATCACTGACACTAATACAGTGTTAATAATATACACTGTCACTGTACTAATGACATTGGTTGGGAAGGGGTTAACATCTAAGGCCAATCAAAGGGTTAACTGTATGCTTAGCAAGTTGTAAAGTGAGTAATGTGTGCTGCTTTTACTAAGCAATGTGACTGTTTTAGCTCCCTGCTTTCCAGGTAGAAAAAAGACAAGCCACATCACTGCATTCTGTAGAGAGCTCTGTGTTGTTTACCAACATAGAGCTCTATTTTCATTTGCTCAGCCGACCAGTAGGCCCCGGGCCATAAAGCATTGGCCGGGACCAACTGATCGGCTTGTTCTGTAGCGAATAACAGTACAGCCAGGACGTAGGGTGTGCCTGTGCACGCCACCTACCCTCTAATACACAGCAAGGACGCTCTGCCGCAGTAAACCTACGGTAGGTGGTCCCCCCTAAGCAGTTAAGAATGAGAACTGAATAAGGATTCGAGATTTAGTGGTCCTTTAAGTCCAAACTCTTTCTCTTGCAGCCACCAGAGAACAGAGGTCATGCTGCCACTGTATCCCCACCTTTAGCCCTGCCCACGAGGAGCCTGGCGCAGTCTTCATTATTGGGCACCACCAACATTAAATGTAGCGATGGCTAAAGAAGTGAACTTCCAGGATGTCCTCCAATCCTCCGACAATGATATCAAGAAATACAAGCAGCGGGATCTCTCCCAGACGCTCTTCTTCAAGGTGGCTTGTAGAACTTTTGAACCACCGAAGTCACGGACCCGGCGCATCATTGCCCCTCCAATGCAGAAAGTAGAGTCTGACCATTTGAATCATGCAGGAAAGTCAATAGAAGCTTTGAGAGTCACCGCTAAACCAAGGGATGAGCAGATCCAGGGGACCAGGGGGGGTGAGAAGATCCTGGGGACCAGGGAGGGTGAGAAGATCCTGAGGACCAGGGAGGGAGAAGACCTGGGGACCAGGGAGGGTGAGAAGATCCTGGGGACCAGGGAGGGTGAGAAGATCCTGGGGACCAGGGGAGGGGGACCAGGGACCAGGGAGGGTGAGAAGATCCTGGGGACCAGGGAGGGTGAGAAGATCCTGGGACCAGGGAGGGTGAGAAGATCCTGGGACCAGGGAGGGTGAGAAGATCCTGGGGACCAGGGAGGGTGAGAAGATCCTGGGGACCAGGGAGGGTGAGAAGATCCTGGGGACCAGGGAGGGTGAGAAGATCCTGGGGACAAGGGAGGGTGAGCAGAACATTTCCAAATGGATATCGGAAAGAAAGCAACTAAGGGCACAACTGGACAGTATGGGGGATGTAGAGAGGTGGCTGCAAGGAAAACCAAACCTGACCGCATTAGAGACACGGGTGCAAGATAAAATGGCCGAGAGGCGTTTAAAAAGTCAGATGTCGCAGCAGACCCATCAAGATATGGCCGGTTCTGTAAGTTTTTGTTGATTTCTTTCCTTCTGACAGACAGAATCAAAAGGCCTACCAATTGTAAATTACAGAATATCGGGTTTGTAAAACGGGTTGGGGCTTGCTGTTGGATTTTTGCGGGACTCGAGTAAGGCTGGCCATATACTTTACAATTTTCTGTCCAATTTCTGCCCAATTTTCTTTAGATTTACCTTCAACTATATAGCAGAAGGGCCCGCCTAATTGAATACAAATGAAAGTGTTGCTTGGGGCGGCACAGTCGCTTAGTGGTTAGTACGTCTGCCTTGCAGTAAATGGGTCATGGGCAGGGGCGGACTGACCATTTGGAAACTCGGGCACTGCCCGAGGGCCAGGGGTGAGTAGGGGGCCCCATGAGATACCCCTGGTACCTTTTTCATAGGTTTTTTTTTTTAGTTTGGGCAAGGACACAGGAGCCCCATGATCCCCTATTGCCCGGGGGCCCCATGAGTTGTCAGTCCGCCCCTGGTCATGCGTTCAATTCCCAACCATGGCGCCTCCTGCATGGAGTTTGCATGTTCTCCCTGTGCTTGTGTGGGTTTCCTCCGGGTACTCCGGTTTTCTCCCACACTACAAAGACATGCTGCTAGGTTAATTGGCTCCTGTCTAAATTGTCCTAGTTTAGACAGGAGCCAATTAACCTGCATGGTGGGGGTTGGGGAAAGACCCGGCAACCTACCCTGTAAAATAATTGCTAAGAGAATTCATGGAAAAGTCGCTTACGAGTGACGGTCCATGCAATCGCCAAGGGTTGGATACAAGTGGATAGATAGATAGATAGATATAGATAGATAGATAATAGATAGATAGATAATAGATAGAGATAATAGATAGATAGATAGATAGATAATAGATAGATAGATAGATAGATAGATAGATAGATAGATAGATAGATAGATAGATATATAGATAGATAGATAGATAGATAGATAGATAGATAGATAGATAATAGATAGATAGATAGATAGATAGATAGATAGATAGATAATAGATAGATAGATAGATAATAGAGATAGATAATAGAGAGATAATAGATAGATAGATAGATAGATAGATAGATAGATAGATAATAGAGAGAGATAGATAGATAATAGATAGATAGATAGATAGATAGATAGATAGATAGATGGATGAGATGGATAGATAGATAATAGATAGAAAGTGTTGTTTAGGTTTTGACCTCACATTATATGGTTTTTGGTAAATTTAAAGCAATTTTCTAAAGAAAGTTGTATAGTGTATGGCCATCCTAAGGAGTTAGGCACTAGGGGAGTGAAAGTAATGGCAGATATCCGATAACATCTGTCCCACAGCCTCCATATTAGCTCAATAGCTGCAGAGTCAGTTCAAGGTTTCAGCACTCCAAGACTGGAGCTGAGAGGCGTTTGCCCTGCCGAAGGTTTTACCCCTTTTATGACCAGGCCATTTTTTGCTATTTAGCACTGTGCTACTTTTACTGGCAATCGCTCAGTCATGCAACACTACCCAAGTGAAATTTATATCATTTTTTTTAACCCAAACAGGGCTTTCTTTTGGTGGTATTTGATCACCACTGGTTTTTTTTTTTTTATTATAAACAAAAAAAGGACGATTTGGAAGAAAAAAAATTGGAAAACCCCCCAATATTTTCTACTTTCTGTTATAAAACATATCCAATTAAATCAACTTTGATATTTCCTTCATTTGCTCTGTTTAGCCTTGTCATTCAAAAGTAACTGAAAGCAAAATATCTGTGTTGCTCACAGCAGCCAATCAGATTCCAGATTGCTTCCTTTTAGTAATTGGCGCCTCCTGAGGTTGTGTGTCTGCCTCGAATTATTTCAAAATTCTTCTTTTGATCCTGCAGGAAGTGGAGCGCAGCGTTCCCAGGAGCTCCCAGCTCAGTGCGGTCACACCGTCCATCCAACAGCCCGACCCCGAAGCTCTCGCCATCCTGGACAGTTATCTGCATCAGAGCCGCCTTCGACTTGTCGACCTTTACAACCAAACAGACAAGAGAAAGCGGAAGGAGATCTCCAGCAAGGATCTGAAGTCCATCCGCAAAGAGGTGACAATCCAGAATGTATTATGGTTACTTTGTATTTTTATTCCATTTACATCTGACTCCCGGCCTCCCCTTCAGGCTTGCTCAGGTGTACCGGCTCCTCCCCTCCAGTCTTGCTCAGGTGTACCGGCTCCTCCCCTTCAGGCTTGCTCAGGTGTACCGGCTCCTCCCCTCCAGTCTTGCTCAGGGTGTACTGGCTCCTCCCCTTCAGGCTTGCACAGGTGTACCGGCTCCTCCCCTTCAGTCTTGCACAGGTGTACCGGCTCCTCCCCTTCAGTCTTGCACAGGTGTTCCAGCTCCTCCCCTTCAGTCTTGCACAGATGTACCGGCTCTTCCCCTTCAGTCTTGCACAGATGTACCGGCTCCTCCCCTTCAGTCTTGCACAGGTGTACCGGCTCCTCCCCTTCAGTCTTGCACAGGTGTACCGGCTCCTCCCCTTCAGTCTTGCACAGGTGTACCGGCTCCTCCCCTTCAGTCTTAAACAGGTGTACCGGCTCCTTCCCTCCAGTCTTGCACAGGTGTACCGGCTCCTCCCCTTCAGTATTTTTAAGGTGTACTGGCTCCTCCCTTCAGTCTTGCACAGATGTACCGGCTCCTCCCCTTCAGTCTTGCACAGGTGTACCGGCTCCTCCCCTTCAGTCTTGCACAGGTGTACCGGCTCCTCCCCTTCAGTCTTGCACAGGTGTACCGGCTCCTCCCCTTCAGTCTTGCACAGGTGTACCGGCTCCTCCCCTTCAGTCTTGCACAGGTGTACCGGCTCCTCCCCTTCAGTCTTGCACAGGTGTACCGGCTCCTCCCCTCCAGTCTTGCACAGGTGTACCGGCTCCTCCCCCTTCAGTCTTGCACAGGTGTACCGGCTCCTCCCCTTCAGTCTTGGACAGGTGTACCAGCTCCTCCCCTTCAGTCTTGCACAGGTGTACCGGCTCCTCCCCTTCAGTCTTGGACAGGTGTACCAGCTCCTCCCCTTCAGTCTTGCACAGGTGTACCGGCTCCTCTCCTGGACTGAAATGACTTAATTTGATTTCACTGCACACTGGGAGCTTCTTACAATGTGCATTAGAAGCTGCAGCAAGTCAGATAGAGCTCCACCTCATTTTCTGGCTGGTGGACGTCCAGCATCATCTAGCCTACAGGTGTCAAACACAAGTCCAGCGAGCCGAATCCAGCCCCCCAGGCCATTTCATGTGGCCCTTGCACCTCTCCTGCAGGTACCTCCTTGTCTCCACCCCCACCTTGTCTCAGCAGCAGAGAGGAGAATAGAACTCCTCTGCCAAATCCTGCACCTTTCAGTGCAGCTGCAGCACCCCTGTCATCTCTGCCTCCCCTGGATTCAGTAGACTCTGGTAAGCTGACTCCACTCCTCCTCTGGTCCTCCTCCAGACCCTGCACTTTCTGCTTTCCAGCTCTGTCCCCAAAGGGGGGTGCACTGTGATTTTAGGGAGGGTGTGGGATTCTTGACATCTGATGTAAGGGGAGGTGGAATGCTCTGGACATCTAGTCTTACAGATACAACCGGCCCTTTGAGGGCAACCATAATGCTGATACGGCCCGCGATGAAATGGTGTTTGACACCCCTAGTCTAGGGCTTTCCATCCAATTTCTTCATAAATTCAGGCCAAAATGTATTCTGCTACATGTCTTTGGTAAAAAAAAAAATCCCAATAAGGCTCCATGCACACGGGGCGCTTTGATAACGCTGGTAACATTAGCTGTGTAAAGTCACGTTAAAAATGTGGAGTTTTAAAGCTTTTTTAGTGTTTTTGCATTAGCGTTTAGCTGCATTTTGCTGCGATTAGCGGCGTTTTTCTGCATTTCATCCAGAAGCGCGGTAGAGTGTTTTTACATCTAAAAAACTCCTCTAGAAACCCACTATCCCTGGGTTTCTTTCCAGCCAAAAAACGTTGATTCCAGTCTCTGTGTGTATGGACACATAGGATAACATGCTGGGGGGTTCACTGGCTATAGAAAAAACCTCAAAAGCCAAAAACAGCCGCTGTAAAAATATCCCGTGTGCAGGAGGACGAAGTGTGTATTGATAGTTTTGTGTGAAAGTTATTGCGCCTACAAACTATGGTATATATACTGCAATTTAAACAGCTATAGAGGCTATACTGGTAGTAATGTGTGGACTGTGATAATGTGGAGGGAAATCTGGCACTAACTGACACTGGCTGGGAAGGACATTAACTGTCTGACACTGATCTCGCTATTGACACTAATACAGTGATTGGGTACAATATTGTACATTGTTAATAAGGGGCAATCAAGGGGTTAACTGTGTGCCTGACGATGTGTAACTGTGATAATTTCGAGGGAAATCTGGCGCTACAGACTGGCTGGGAAGGACATTAACTAACTGACACTGATTTAGCTATTGACACTAATACAGTGATTGGGTATAATATTGTACACTGTTATTAAGGAGCAATCAAGGGGTTAACTGTGTGCCTAACAACATGTAACTGTGATAATGTGGAGGGAAATCTGGCACTAACTGACACTGGCTGGGAAGGACATTAACTGACTGAAACTGATCTCACTAGTGACACTAATATAGTGATAGGGTACAATATTGTACATTGTTATTAAGGGGCAATCAAGGGGTTAACTGTGTGCCTAACAACGTGTAATGTGCTGCTTTTACTTCCATATTAGGCTGTTTTTTCTCCCTGCTTTGCACAGAGAAGAAGCAGCCAGATGGCTGTTCTGTGTACACAGAGTTCTGTGTGTTTTGTAAACACAGGACTCTGTTCTGTGATTGGACAAAGCTGATCAGCAGGTTTCCACCAAAATCATTGGCTGAAACCCATTGACTTAACCCGTGTTGTGTACAATCGCAGCAGGGGGTGCACGCACGCACCCAAAAAGGTCGCCTGGCCTCCAGTACATGTCAACTTCAGTTTTAATGAAAATTGTCTACAAAATATTGTTCAGATCTATGCATCGGACTAGACAGCCATCATTTTTTTTATTTTCGGCTTCCCTTCTCTTCCAGACCAATATTCCCATCAGCGATCTGCAGTTTGACGATTTGGTCATCTCTCTCGGAAACAAACGTCCGAATCGCATCAACTATAAGGAGCTCTGTGTTGGACGGCACTTGTGGTGGAAGAAGAACCTGGGAGAACCTAGGAGGGGCGTGTCTGTCAGTCCGGGGACCGGAGGTACAGTGTGGTCTATAAATTATGAGCACACATTGGGGACGGGGACACATGCTGGTCTGATGGAGAATGCTGATCCTCATCCTCCACCATTTAGGGCTCATGTACACTGCAGCTGATAAACTGATGTTTAGGAGTTTTTCTGCGTTTAAAGGAAATGGCTGGAGACATTTCGGCTTCATGACAGCAGGGGGTCTCCGATCTGTCTGGGGAGCTAAAAGTGTCTACATACAGCAAAGGGGTATGTTTAATCCTCATAAAAGCTAAAATATTAGTTGCAGAGAGATGGAAATACTTCCTTCTGATAGGGCACTCTGTGCGTCACACCGATGTATGACAACCATATTTGCGGCTTAGGTAGAAGGCCAGGAAAATGCAGGAAATGGTTAGGTGGCGCTGGAGTGCGACAGTTGAACAGTGTTTGGTATTGTCCCGATGGGACTGATGCACTGATGTCAGAAATCCAATCCCCGACTTGGTGTTTCAAGCCGGTCTTGGCCTGATTGAACTTGGGCAGGTCAGCACCCAGAACATCCTGTGGGCGGGTGCAGGAACACCCCCAGGGTCAATTGGCCGAGGACTAATGTCCCGCCTACGTCCATATCGCCATAAATGGAGTACCCGGGCATTGGGACATTGTGATTCGTATGGAGCTGGTTGATCGACCAACAGATTGCTGACTTTTCTGACTTGCTCCAGTCGCAGGGTAAATCCTGGTAAAGTTTTACTTCTGTCTTTTATTCCCTTTTTATTTTATAGTGAATAGTCATTTGTGTGTCTTCTAGTATTTTCTGTATTTCTGTAACTTTTTATATTTTGTACATATTTTATGCACTGCCCACTTTCGGGAAATTAAATCTTAAAATGAATTGGTGGCTTTTGTGTATTTAAGCTCGGGCTCATATCTCCGGAGAGATTAGATTGTATTGTATTGTAGTGCCTTAAAACGCTCGGTCAAGCTCATTGCCAATCTGTATGCAATTGCACTGTGTGTGGGCAGATTGCATGCAGATTGTAAAGGTAACAGATCGGCCAGACGGAGATCTGTGTGTGGTGTCTCAGCAGACCGTTCTGCGGATAAACTGCTGGGTGGTGGCAGGATACCTTTTGTGGTGTCTGGTGTGGGGGTGTGTGGACAGTGGAAGGGTGATTAACACCGGGGCTCAAGCTGTAGGATAGCTGGAGGGACCTTAGAAGTGCACCAGATTGTATATAAGATTTGTATCTGCCAGTGTGTGGTCGACCAGCAGGATTGGAGTGGAATCTCCCTCTGGTGGTGGCCAAAGGGTAGTGCGGGCTGTGGAAGTACATCACGGCTGATCTTATACAGGTGAAACTCGAAAAATGAGAATATGGTGCAAAAGTTCATTTATTTCAGTGCAGCAACTTAAAAGGTGAAACTAATATATGAGACTCATTACATGCAAAGCAAGATAGTTCAAGCCGTGATTTGTCATCATTGTGATGATTATGGCTTACAGCTCATGAAAACCCCAAATCCACAATCTCAGAAAATGAGAATATTGTGAAAAGGTGGAATATTCTCGGCTCAAAGTGTCCCACTCTAATCAGATAATTAAGCCATAACACCTGCAAAGGGTTCCTGAGTCGCTCAGTCTGGTTCAGTAGGAATCACAATCATGGGAAAGACTGCTGACCTGACACCATCACTGACACCCTCCATAAGGAGGGAAAGCCTCAAAAGGGAATTGCAGAAGAAGTTGGATGTTCCCAAAGTGCTGTATCAAAGCACAATAATAGAAAGTTATGAGGAAGGGAAAAGTGTGGAAGAAAAAGGTGCACAAGCAGCAGGGATGACCGCAGCCTGGAGAGGATTGTCAGGAAAAGGCCATTCAAAAGTGTTGGGGACTTTCACAAGGAGTGGACTGAGGCTGGAGTCAGTGCATCAAGAGCCACCACACACAGATGGATCCTGGACATGGGCTTCAAATGTCGTATTCCTCTTGTCAAGCCGCTCCTGAACAACAACAAACAACGTCAGAAGCGTCTTACCTGGGCTAAAGAAAAACAGACCTGGTCTGGTGCTCAGTGGTCCAAAGTCCTCTTTTCTAATGAGAGCAACTTTTGCATGTCATTTGGAAACCAAGGACCCCGAGTATGGAGGAAGAATGGAGAGGCCCAAGGACCCCGAGTATGGAGGAAGAATGGAGAGGCCCAAGGACCCCGAGTATGGAGGAAGAATGGAGAGGCACAAGGACCCCGAGTATGGAGGAAGAATGGAGAGGCCCAAGGACCCCGAGTATGGAGGAAGAATGGAGAGGCCCAAGGACCCCGAGTATGGAGGAAGAATGGAGAGGCCCAAGGACCCCGAGTATGGAGGAAGAATGGAGAGGCCCAAGGACCCCGAGTATGGAGGAAGAATGGAGAGGCCCAAGGACCCCGAGTATGGAGGAAGAATGGAGAGGCCCAAGGACCCCGAGTATGGAGGAAGAATGGAGAGGCTCAAGGACCCCGAGTATGGAGGAAGAATGGAGAGGCCCAAGGACCCCGAGTATGGAGGAAGAATGGAGAGGCCCAAGGACCCGTAGTATGGAGGAAGAATGGAGAGGCACAAGGACCCGGAGTATGGAGGAAGAATGGAGAGGCCCAAGGACCCCGAGTATGGAGGAAGAATGGAGAGGCCCAAGGACCCCGAGTATGGAGGAAGAATGGAGAGGCCCAAGGACCCCGAGTATGGAGGAAGAATGGAGAGGCACAAGGACCCCGAGTATGGAGGAAGAATGGAGAGGCCCAAGGACCCGTAGTATGGAGGAAGAATGGAGAGGCCCAAGGACCCGGAGTATGGAGGAAGAATGGAGAGGCCCAAGGACCCGGAGTATGGAGGAAGAATGGAGAGGCCCAAGGACCCGGAGTATGGAGGAAGAATGGAGAGGCCCAAGGACCCGGAGTATGGAGGAAGAATGGAGAGGCCCAAAGACCCCGAGTATGGAGGAAGAATGGAGAGGCCCAAGGACCCCGAGTATGGAGGAAGAATGGAGAGGCCCAAGGACCCGTAGTATGGAGGAAGAATGGAGAGGCCCAAGGACCCGTAGTATGGAGGAAGAATGGAGAGGCACAAGGACCCGGAGTATGGAGGAAGAATGGAGAGGCCCAAGGACCCGGAGTATGGAGGAAGAATGGAGAGGCCCAAGGACCCGGAGTATGGAGGAAGAATGGAGAGGCCCAAGGACCCGGAGTATGGAGGAAGAATGGAGAGGCCCAAGGACCCGGAGTATGGAGGAAGAATGGAGAGGCCCAAGGACCCGGAGTATGGAGGAAGAATGGAGAGGCCCAAGGACCCCGAGTATGGAGGAAGAATGGAGAGGCACACACTGCAAGATGCTTGAAGTCCAGTGTGAAGTTTCCACAGTCTTTGTTGATTTGGGGAGCCATGTCACCTGCTGGTGTTGGTCCACTGTGCTTCATTAAGTCCAGGGAAAACGCAGCCGTCTACTAGGAGATTTTGGAGCACTTCATGCTTCCTTCCGCAGACCAGCTTTATGGGGATGCTGACTTCATTTTCCAGCAGGACTTGGCACCGCCCACACTGCCAAAAGCACCAAAACCTGGTTCAATGACCGTGGGATTACTGTGCTTGATTGGCCAGCAAACTCGCCTGACCTGAACCCCATAGAGAATCTATGGGGCATTGCCAAGAGAAAGATGAGAGACATGAGACCGAACAATGCAGAAGAGCTGAAGGCCGCTATTGAAGCATCCTGGTCTTCCATAACACCTCAGCAGTGCCACAGGCTGATAGCTTCCATGCCACGCCGCATTGAGGCAGTAATTGCTGCAAAAGGGGCCCAAGCCAAGTACTGAGTACATATGCAGCTTCTACTTTTCAGAGGTGCGATATTGTTCTCTGTACAATCTGTGTTTTATTGATTGCATGGAATATTCTCATTTTCTGAGATTGTGGATTTGGGGTTTTGATGAGCTGTAAGCCATAATCATCACAATGATGACAAATCACGGCTTGAACTATCTTGCTTTGCATGTAATGAGTCTCATATATTAGTTTCACCTTTTAAGTTGCTGCACTGAAATAAATGACCTTTTGCATGATATTCTAATTTTGCGAGTTTCACCTGTTTACGGTTTTATATATTCAAAGTTGAGTCCCCTTTATTCCCTCTTACTCCAAGTCTCGGCTGCACGTGTGCGCCTCGGTTAGCTAGTCGCTGTGGGCGTGGCGTGTGGGGGAACCGTGACAATGATGATCAATAATAATCTATAATATTAATTAAGAAAATAATAATACATAAAAAAAAAATAATATTATTAAGAAATATGTTAACAGTAATATTAGAAATCTTCTTTTTTTTTTTTTTTTTTGCAGCATCTGTAAAGTGTTTCAGACCTGCTACTGACCAGAAAAGTGACTCCGGTGAGACTAAACCCTCTTCGGCACTCTCAGTCTCACTGCTCAGTGTTGGGGATACCAGGACCAGATCTCAGGTGGGCCGCAGTGACCAGAGTGAAGGCAGTAAATCCCAGTTTCTCCAGGTGCCTCCTGTCAATCTGGAGGAAATGAGGCCCCTCAGCTACGAGGACATGGAGGTGATCGGGAAGAATTATCGGGAGAGGAAAAGAAGAGCAAAAGTGAGCAGATGACATTTCTATAGGATGGCGACCAGCAGCAAAAGTCTAACTGTCACTTCTTGACTCTCCAGCCATTGGCTATGTTTGCTTTCCTGCTATCTATTCTGGAAATGCTTTCTGCCTGGCTGCCATGCTATTGACACAGGACTCCTATAGAGATAAGGAGTTCTGATTTCCATCTACCTGTTCTGGGTCAGTGATTTAGAGGTATTAAAGCCAGACACAGCCAGGAAACTAGTATTTTCAGAAGGAGGCCACCAATGGAAAGCCATCAAATTATGTATTTTTCAAATATCCCCTAGCAGGTGTAAAAAAGCAACCTAGGCTGTACCATCAATCTGGCGTTGAACCAGGGACGGACTGACAACTCATGGGGCCCCCGGGCAATAGGGGATCATGGGGCCCCGGTTGTCCTTGCCCACACTCAAAAAAGCCTATTAAAAAGGTACCTGGGACATTTCATGGGACCCCCTACTGACTCTGGGCCCTGGGGAAGTGCCCGAGTGCTCAAATGGTCAAATCCCTGCGTTGAACCCACAGTAATCACTTTTTTCCCTCAAGATGTCCTCAGTCATTTTTAGATTATTCACGCACGTGTTAAAATTAGATTTTTTTTTTTCTTTGCTGGAATTTATGTTAAATCCTGTGGCAGTAGTTGCATTTTTTTATGTTACAAGATATTTGTGCAGCGGTTTACAAAAAGCATAATTTCAGGGGAAAACACACACAAAAAAAAGAATTTTAGTGCAAACACAATATTATACCCAATTGTTTGGTAAAATGGACGGCTGGCATATGCATTTTTGCTGCAATTTATCTGTTCTTACAGAATTTTTTACCACTTTTTTTTTTACAGGACATGTGTCTCAAAAACACACCGCAGGTGCATTGTTTATGCGTTTTTGCCACATTTTCCATTGATTTTAATGGGGAGGGGCGTGGGTTTTTTTTTCTACAACAAACCTTCACTAAAAACGCAGCAAGCAAGATTTTAAAAAACGTGCGTGACCCACAACGGATCAGTGTGAAGAGTTCCATAGGAATACATGGTCACACATTTTTTCTTCCACTTTTTTTTAACACAAAAGCAGATGAAAAATGGAATCGGTGTGAAACCAGCCTAAAAGATGAGGTTGTTTAACAAATTGAAAAGGAAAACTAAAAGGAAATCTGTATCAAGAATGCCAAGTTTTAAAGCGAAGCTCCACCCAAAAGGGGCAGTTCTGCTTTAAGGACTGCTCCCCCGCTCCCCATTAAGGACTGGCACCTTTTGGGGAGCGGGTACCTGAATTTGACAGGTACCCCCTTCCACCTCCGGTCCGATTGCCTAGGCGAACGGAAACGGAAAGGTGTCCTCCCTCCCTGTACTCGCGCATGCGCAGTGGGTACCTGGTTGTGAAGCGGCAAGCTATCACAGCCGGGTGCCCACACTGAAGATGCCGGCCTCCTGGAATACAGGACGGCCGGTGAAACGGGCTACAGGGAGGACACACCACGGGACCAAGGGACAGGTAAGTGGCTGTTTTTTCAAAGTCAGTAGCTACAGTTTTTGTAGCTGCTGACTTTTATTTTTTGACAGCGTGAGTGGAACTCTGCTTTAAACTTGTGGATGGCTATGAAATGGCAAAGAACCCAATACTGTCTATAGGCCAATCCCTAAAAGCGTTTCCAGGTTGTCAATTTACAGTTTAGGGCTCATGTACACTGCGGCTGATAAACTCACGTTTAGGAGCTTTTCTGCGTTTTTTTTTCAGCAGCCCCTGAACTCTCCCTAATGTTCTCCTATGTGTCCGTGTACACATCGTCGTTTACAGGCATTTGAGTTTACAGTCGTTTTTTTAACGCAGAAAACTTGCGTTCAGCAGTCAGTTTTATCAGCGTTTCAAACACAAAACTCTTGTAAACGCAGCAAATCGTGCATATCTGACAACTTATGGGGCCCCCGGGCAATAGGGGATCATGGGGCCCCTGTGTCCTTGCCCAAACTCAAAAAAGCCTATGAAAAAGGTACCAGGGGCATCTCATGGGTCCCCCTACTGACCCCGGGCCCTCGGTAGTGCCCGAGTTTCCAAATGGTCAGTCCGCCCCTGGTGCCGCCGGAGTATAGAGCACACTCCAGAGCTCTATGAAGCCCAAATCACTTTCATCTGAAAGCCAACTTTTTAAAATTTATATCAATTTCTGCAACTGTTACAAAAAAAAAATTGATATCAGTTTCAAGACCGCAGCATCCATGAGCTCACTTTAACCCACGGGTGTCAAACTGGCCCTCCAGCTGTTGCCAAACTACAAGTCCCATGAGGCATTGCAAGATTGACAGTTACAAGCATGACTCCGAAAGACTGAGGCATGATGGGACTTGTAGTTTCGCAACAGCTGGAGGACCGCCAGTTTGACACCCCTGCTTCAACCTGTTGTGTGCCATGCCTTTTAAAAAAAAGTTCCTTGGTAAACATGGGTTTAAAGGTGGATCTTTAACCCTTTCTTTTTCCATCTAAACCTTGGTAAAAAGTCTTGGCTATACATACACTTGAAGAATGGATATTCAGATTCTGGGATAAGCCCAATAGATAATGGAAAATCATCAAAAGATGATGGACAGACAAAGAGATCATCCAAATGTTAATTTTGAGTTATCAGTTTATTTTTTAATACTTTACTGTCTTCTTCCAGAGCAACACCCGCCTCTTGGACTGGTTAGATCAGTGCCGTTTGGTAAGAACAGGCAACGCTGCTGTTGACGCCCATTCCCTGCCGTCTACGCTGGAGGAGGAGTCAGCCGAGCTGGTGGAGCAGTTCAGAAGGCAGGGCCTACAGCAATATCATAAGATCCTAAAACTGTGCCAAGCCTACAATGTTCCCCTTACAGAAGAGCTGCTGGAAGAAGGTGGGCACTAAAGATACTGAACCTTACTACAGGTAACACCTATTGGACTTCTTCTGGGATCCAGTGCTGGGTCTCTTCTCCAGCGCTCAGTCCTCAACATTTCCTGGTTTTACCCGGAGCAGTGGTGTCATGGCCAATAAGGTGACAGCTATCCTGGTTGGTGCGGCTTTTAATTGGAATGTGATCCTTGGTTCGGCATTTAGCCAACCACTTTCCTTGCTGTACTTCTTACCTGTGTGTCTTCTGTGCCCGACGCCAATACGCCAGTCTGCCTGAGACTCCAGTTTGCCAAGTACACGGAGTGCCTCCAATGCACCACTAGCACCTTATATCACCAATGCACCCCTTGTGTGCTCCATCACTCTACTGCACCCCAGAACATCTTGTGTCATCTAGTGACTCCAGTGCACCCTTGGACTCCAGTGTGGCCAGTAAACCAAAAGTGTCTCCTGTGCACCCAAGACACCCAGTGTACCTTTTGATGCCATACCACGCCAGTGCACCCCATAGCATCTTGTGTGATCTAATGACCCCAGTGCACCCTGGGACTCTAGTTAGGCCAGTATATCCAATGTACTAAGTGTCTCCTGTGCACCCAAGACACCTTGTGACCCAGTGCACCCCATACCTGTGTGACACCAGTGCACCCCATAGCATCTTGTGTGATCTAATGACCTGTGCCCAGTACCCAGTGCACCTTGTGACACCAGTGCACCCCATAGCATCTTGTGTGACTACACCCTGGGACTACCAGTTAGGCCAGTGTACCGAGTGTCTCCTGTACACCCAGTGCACCCTATGACACCAGTGCACCCCTGTTCACCTTGCCACTCCAGTCCACCCCTGTTCACCTTGCCACTCCAGTCCACCCCATAGCCTCTTGTGTGATCTAATGACCCCAGTGCATCCTGGGACTCCAGTGTGGCCAGTATATCCAGTGTATCTCCTGTACACCCAGTGCACCTTGTGACACCAGTGCACCCCTGATTGCCTCGTCACTCCAGTGCACCCCAGAACATCTTGTGTCATCTATGACTGAAGTGCACCCTGGGACTCCAGTGTGACCTGTATACCCAGTGTACCAAGTATCTCCTGTGCACCCAAGACACCCAGTGCACCTTGTGACACCAGTGCGCCCCTATTCACCTTGCCACTCCAGTGCACCCAACAGCATCTTGTGTGACCTAATGACCCCAGTGCACCCTGGGACTTCAGTTAGGCCAGTATACCCAGTGTACCGAGTGTCTCCTGTACACCCCCAGGACACCCAGTGCACCTTGTGTGCCTCATCACTCCAATGCACCCCATAGCATGTTGTGTGATCTAATGATCCCAGTGCATCCTGGGACTCCAGTGTGGCCGATATAGTGTATAAAGTGCCCTGTATACCCAGGACACCCAGTTGTACCTTTGTGGGCTCTGTCACTCTAGTGGACCCCAGAGAGTCTACTGTGATCTATTGACCCCAGTGTGTCCCTTGGACTTCAATGCACTGTAGGGCATGCTATGTCAAATAGGGACCCTAGTGCACCCCAATGGTGACAACCAGTGTGCCCCATGACACCAGTGTACCCCAATAGTGTCAATCAGTGTGCCCTATGACACCAGTGTTCCCCAATAGTGTCAATCAGTGTGCCCTATAACACCAGTGGACCCCACAGCATGCTGTGTCAAATAGCGAACCCCTTGCGTCCCTAGGACTCCAATGCACCCCAGGGCACCTCATGACTCCAGTGCACCTCAATAGTGACCCCAGTCCACCCCATGACTCCTGTGGCAGATAACATCCAAAGCACGGGGTCTAAGTGACAGTTGGTCTTCACCAGAGCTCCTGAAGGTAGAGATGGGCCAGGTTACTTTGCTGTCACCAGGTTGTGTTCCTCAGGATCAAAGAATTATCAGATCCAGCCAGGGGTCTTGGCAGGAGGCAAACAAGAGATTAGTCAGGTCCAGGGCAGAGGTCATGCCAGGCAGCAGGAAGTAGAGTAGTCAGGTCCAGGCAGGAGTCGAAGGCAAGCAGAAATGGAGCAGACAGGTCAATCTGGGTCAGCAACAGTCAGGTGATCTTATTGGTAAGTATTATATCTATTCGCACAAGGGTAGATGGCAATAAGACACAGCACCCGCCAAGATCCTGGATACAACAAGCATCATTTTGGGGAACCGTAACAGCCAAACCCCTTATCACATGGGTTCGCATGCAGAGTTCTAGTACTGAGGAAGAGTGGGGTGGGTCTGACCAAGTTAGTTTGATCACAGGGCAAACAACTATCAATACCACCACCTATGCACCATTCTGAACTGAATCTGCACTTTTCATGCAGCTTTATTGTATCCTGGAGACAAGCTGGTTTGTGAATCAGGAGATCAGCTTCCCCTCCGACAGCCAGGTGTAGGACTTTCATCCAAAGACAGATTCGCGAGGAAGAGCTCTGCAACAAAAATGTCCAAAGGAAGACACAGCGTGGACGAGGATCCCGACAGTTACCCAAGGCTCTGGTGAGCTGCCCTGTGCAATCTGGAGTTGGAGTTAAAAAAAAGCTACATAACCCGTAGTCTCTGACCATCTCTTCTAGAATTCCTGTAGTCACTGACCATCTCTAGTGGCATAGCTGAAGTCTCTGACCATCTCTTGTAGAATTCCTATAGTCACGGACCATCTCTTGTGGAATTCCTGTAGCCTCTGACCATCTCTTGTAGAATTCCTGTAGCCTCTGACCATCTCTTGTAGAATTCCTGTAGCATCTGACCATCTCTTGTGTAGAATTCCTGTAGCATCTGACCATCTCTTGTAGAATTCCTGTAGTCTCTGACCATCTCTTGTAAAATTCCTGTAGCCTTTGACCATCTCTTGTAGAATTCCTGTAGCAACTGACCATCTCTTGTAGAATTCCTGTAGTCACTGACCATCTCTTGTAGAATTCCTTTAGCTTCTGACCATCTCTTGTAGAATTCCAGTAGTTTCTGACCATCTCTTGTAGAATTCCTGTAGCATCTGGCCATCTCTTGTAGAATTCCTGTAGTTTCTGACCATCTCTTGTAGAATTCTTGTAGTTTCTGACCATCTCTTGTAGAATTCTTGTAGTTTCTGACCATCTCTTGTAGAATTCCTGTAGCGTCTGGCCATCTCTTGTAGAATTCCTGTAGTTTCTGACCATCTCTTGTAGAATTCCTGTAGTTTCTGACCATCTCTTGTAGAATTCTTGTAGTTTCTGACCATCTCTTGTAGAATTCTTGTAGTTTCTGACCATCTCTTGTAGAATTCCTATAGTCTCTGACCATCTCTTGTAGACTTCCTGTAGCCTCTGGCCATCTCTTGTAGACTTCCTGTAGCCTCTGGCCATCTCTTGTAGACTTCCTGTAGCCTCTGGCCATCTCTTGTAGACTTCCTGTAGCCTGACCATCTCTTGTAGACTTCCTGTAGTTTCTGACCATCTCTTGTAGAATTCCTGTAGTTTCTGACCATCTCTTGTAGAATTCCTGTAGTTTCTGACCATCTCTTGCAGAATTCCTGTAGTCACTGACCATCTCATGTAGAATTTCTGTAGTCACTGACCATCTCTTGTAGAATTCCTGTAGCGTCTGGCCATCTCTTGTAGAATTCCTGTAGCGTCTGGCCATCTCTTGTAGAATTCCTGTAGCCTCTGGCCATCTCTTGTAGCTTTCCTGTAGCGTCTGGCCATCTCTTGTAGAATTCCTGTAGCCTCTGGCCATCTCTTGTAGAATTCCTGTAGTTTCTGACCATCTCTTGTAGAATTCCTGTAGTTTCTGACCATCTCTTGTAGAATTCCTGTAGTTTCTGACCATCTCTTGTAGAATTCCTGTAGTTTCTGACCATCTCTTGTAGAATTCCTGTAGTTTCTGACCATCTCTTGTAGAATTCCTGTAGTTTCTGACCATCTCTTGTAGAATTCCTAGTTCACTGACCATCTCTTGTAGAATTCCTGTAGTTTCTGACCATCTCTTGTAGTAGTCACTGACCATCTCATGTGTAGTCACTTTCTGATTCCTGTAGCGTCTGGCCATCTCTTGTAGAATTCCTGTAGTCTTCTCTTGACCAGCCTCTCTCTTGTAGAATTCCTGTAGTTTCTGACCATCTCTTGTAGAATTCCTGTAGTTTCTGACCATCTCTTGTAGAATTCCTGTAGTTTCTGACCATCTCTTGTAGAATTCCTGTAGTTTCTGACCATCTCTTGTAATTCCTGTAGTTTCTGACCATCTCTTGTAGAATTCCTGTAGTTTCTGACCATCTCTTGTAGAATTCCTGTAGTCACTGACCATCTCATGTAGAATTCCTGTAGTTTCTGACCATCTCTTGTAGAATTCCTGTAGTCACTGACCATCTCATGTAGAATTTCTGTGTCACTGCCATCTCTTGTAGAATTCCTGTAGCGTCTGGCCATCTCTTGTAGAATTCCTGTAGCGTCTGGCCATCTCTTGTAGAATTCCTGTAGCGTCTGGCCATCTCTTGTAGAATTCCTGTAGCGTCTGGCCATCTCTTGTAGAATTCCTGTAGCTTCTGGCCATCTCTTGTAGAATTCCTGTAGCCTCTGGCCATCTCTTGTAGCTTTCCTGTAGTCTCTGACCATCTCCTGTAGCTTTCCTGTAGTCTCTGACCATCTCTTGTAGCTTTCCTGTAGTCTCTGACCATCTCCTGTAGCTTTCCTGTAGTCTCTGACCATCTCCTGTAGCTTTCCTGTAGTCTCTGACCATCTCTTGTAGAATTCATGTAGTCTCTGACCATCTCTTGTAGAATTCATGTAGTCTCTGACCATCTCTTGTAGAATTCATGTAGTCTCTGACCATCTCTTGTAGAATTCATGTAGTCTCTGACCATCTCTTGTAGAATTCCTGTACTCTTTGACCATCTCTTGTAGCATTCCTGTAGTTTTCCCACTCTCCCTGTGCACCATACATTTTCCCCTGCTCCACTATGTGTCCCAACAGTGCTGCCGGCTTCCCTCCTCTCCTTCCCACTGGCTGCTGCAAGCACACAGTAGGATGGAGAGTGGGGGAAGGGTCCAGCCTATATGTCACATTTACCAGCCCCTTCCTTTTCTGAATGAACACAATGAGTGATTTGTACAAATCACTCATTGTGTTCATTCATAACTGAAGCCTCATTAGCAGTGTTTTTTTGTTTGGGGGGGCTGTTAGGTTGGCTGTATGGGGCCCCATGGTTTCTAACAGCAGCCCTGACTACAGATGACACTTATTGTCACTACAGTCTACGAGAGATATAAGAATCCCCAGAATATTCTGAGCCTCTGCTCCACATCTAACTCCCAAAAACTTGTATTTTATCTTCTATCCCAGGGGTCTCCAAAATGTCTAAATAAAGGGCCAGTTTTACAATTTACTAGTGCCCCATTGTTGATGTCAGTGGGAAGAACAGTGCCCCAAGGGCCAGATAAAGGCAAGAAAGAAAGGCTGCAATCGACCCCCAATGGGCCACGGTTTGGAGTCCACTGGTCAGTCCTCTAATTTGTCTCTGCCTCTTCTAACTCTCACTCAATCCTGTGTTTTTTAGTAGTGGCCCATACCCTCCCAACACCTACGTTGCCAGGGTGAAAACCAAGGTGAGAGGAAAGCAGAAAGCCGGGACAGAAACCCTGAGATGCTGGACGACATTGGAGCAGTTTCAGGAGATGAGTGGGTGAGTCAAATAATCAGAACAACGCCTGTGTCCCTCCATGTGTCGGACACCAACTGCTGGAGTATCCCTGGAGCTGACCCAGTACACCAGCTTCTACCTACAGTTGTGCTCAAAAGTTACCCTCCCCTGGAATGTTTGGCCTTGGTACACACACACAAGAGGACACACACGGGGTTCAATGGCAATTTAGTCCGGGTTCACATATGTGCGGGGCGGTATATCGCATGTGATTCGCACTGGAACCGCACCGCATTCCTGTACAGATCACATGCGATTTTGTGTGCGGTGCGATCGCAGCCGTACATTTTGCCATACACGTTTGTTAGCTCTGATGTGGATGCACTGAGCGGGCTTTTGTTGCAGAATAAAATCTTTTATGGACTGTAAAAACTAGTGTGCCGCTCCCCACTTTTCAAGTTTTTAAGTCCCCAAAGACTTCTGCACATGTGAAGATGGTGGAGCAGAAAGGGAGCTGTGAAATGCGAAAGACCTAGAAGTGCAGTTCCTCTTTAACCACTTGGTTTTTACCCCCTTCGTGACCAGGCCGTTTTTTTTTTTTTTTTTCTATTCAGCACTGTGCTACTTTAACTGGCAATTGCTCGGTCATGCAACACTGTACCCAAATGAAATTGATATAGTTTTTTCACACTAATAGAGCTTTCTTTTAATGGTATTTGATCACCACTGGGGGTTTTTTTTGAATTTTTTTTTATTATATAAACAAAAAAAGACCAAACATTTTGGAAAAAAAAACAAACAATATTTACTACTTTCTGTCATAAAACACATCCAATAAAAAAAAATTTAAAAAGTCAAATTTGTTTTAAAATTTAGGCCAAAGTGTATTCTGCGACATGTCTTTGGTGAAAAAAAAATTCCCAAAAAGTGTATATTGATTGGTTTGTGTGAAAGCAATAGTATATACTGCGTGTGTGTGTATATATACAGTATAGTTTGTAGATGCTATATAACTATATATATATATATATATATATATATATATATATATACATATACACTGTGTATGTGTATGCATATATATACATACAATAGCTAAGCAAAGTAAGGGGTGTGTGTGCTGTGCTCTCTGTCTCCCCCTAGAGTGCAGTACCTGGCTCTGTGCGTGAACAACAAAGTACTGCAATTTTTTTTATAGGGTGTGTGTAATTGCAGCTCACTCTGGTCACATGATCCTCTATGTCAGCCAGTGGTGGCTTCAGGGGAGAGGAGAGAGCACTTAACAGCGTGTCTGTGTATGCATGTACATGTGTATGTACATGTGTCTGTGCATGTGTATTTCTGTGTATGTACATGTATCTGTGTGTATGCGTGTCTGTGTGTGTGTATACGTGTGTGTGTGTGCGTGTGTACATGTTTCTGTGTGTGTGTATATGTACATGTCTGTGTGTGTGTGTACAGGTGTCTCTGTTTATGTGTGTTTGCTGGTGGCGAGTAACTCTTAAGGCCTGGTTAGTAGCTCAGTGTGTATGTGTGTGTGTGTGTGTGTGTGTGTGTGTGTGTGTGTGTGTGTGTGTGTGTGTGTGTGTGTGTGTGTGTATATATATATATATATATATATATATATAGTATACAGTTGCAAGAAAAAGTATGTGAACCCCTTGGGATTACGTGGAGTTTTGCATGAATTGGGCATAAAAATGTGCTCTGAATGTCATCTAAGTCACAACAATAGAAGAACACAGTCTGCTGAACATAATACTACACAAACATTAGATGTTGCCATGGTTTAATTGCACATAACATGTAAACATTCACAGTGCAGGGGGAGGATGTGAGGCCCTAGCTTAATGACTTCTCCCAGAGCTAATTGGAGCCAGGAGTGAGCCAACCTTGACTCCAATCAGTGTGATGATATTGGATGTGTTGCTGACAGCTGTCCTGCCCTTAAAAAAACACACACCTGTTTTGGGTTTACTGGTTTCAAGAAGCACTGTCTGATGTGAACCATGCCTCGCAGAAAAGAGCTCTCAGAAGACCTACGATCAAGAATTGTTGACTTGCATGAAGCTGGAAAGGGTTACAAAAGTATCTCCAAAAGCGATGATGTTCATGTGTCCATGGTAAGACAGACTGTCTACAAATGGAGAAAGTTTAGCACTGTTGCTACTCTCCCTAGGCGTGGTCGTCCTGTAAAAATGACTGCAAGAGCACAGCGCAGAATGCTGCATGAGGTAAAGAAGAATCCCAGAGTGTCAGCTAAAGACCTACAGAAATCTCTGGCACATGCTAACATTTTTGTTGACACATCTACAATAAAGAAAACATTAAACAAGAATGGAGTACATGGGAGGACACCACGGAGGAAGCCATTGCTGTCCAAAAAGAATATTGCAGCACGTTTGAAGTTTGCAAAAGAGCACCTGGATGTGCCACAGCACTACTGGCAAAATATACTGTGGACAGATGAAACCAAGATTGAGTTGTTTGTGAAGAACACACAACACTATGTGTGGAGAAAAAAAGGCCCAGCACACCAACATCAAAACCTCATCCCCACTGTGAAACATGGCGGAGGGAGCATCATGGTTTGGGGCTGCTTTGCTGCCTCAGGTCCTGGACGGATTGTTGTCATTGATGGGAAAATGAATTCCAGAGTTTATCAAGACATTTTGCAGGAAAACGTATGACCATCTGTCCGCCAACTGAAGCTCCGCAGAGGATGGGTGATGCAACAGGACAATGACCCAAAGCATACAAGTAATTCAACAAAAAATGGCTGCAACAGCACAGAATACGCCTTCTGGAGTGGCCCAGTCAGAGTCCTGACCTCAACCCCATTGAAATGCTGTGGCATGACCTTAAGAGAGCGATTCACACCAGACATCCCAAGAATATTGCTACACTGAAACAGTTTTGTGAAGAGGAGTGGTCCAAAATGACTCCAGATCATTGTGCCGGTCTGATCTGCAACTACAGGAAACGTTTGGTTGAGGTTATTGCTGCCAAAGGAGGGTCAACCAGTTATTAAGTCCAAAGGTTCACATACTTTTTCCTCCCTGCACTGTGAATGTTTACATGTTATGTGCAATTAAACCATGGCAACATCTAATGTTTGTGTAGTATTATGTTCAGCAGACTGTGTTCTTCTATTGTTGTGACTTAGATGACATTCAGAGCACATTTTATGCCCAATTCATGCAAAACTCCACGCAATCCCAAGGGGTTCACATACTTTTTCTTGCAACTGTATGTATGTATGTATATATATATATATATATATATATATATATATATATATATATATATATATAGGAACTAACGCAGCTGTATAGGCTATACTGGTAATGGCGGTGATCAGTGACTTGTAGTTGGACTGTGGTAGTGTGGCGGGCAATCTGGTGCTAACAGACCCTTGCTGGGAGGGACTCTAACTAGCTGACACTGATGTCACTAGTGACACTAATACAGTGATCAGATATAATACTGTATGCTGTACTAATGACACTGGCCGGGACGGGGTTACATCTAGGGGCACTCAGGGGTTCACTGTGTGCCTAATAAGTGTAATGAGTGCTGCTTCTACTAACAGATCTGTCTGGTTTTTTTTCTCCCTGCTTTTCAGAGAGAAGAAACAGCAAGATTGCTGTTCTGTGTACAGAGTTCTATGTGTTTGTAAACACAGAACTTTGTGCTATGATTGGACACTGCCGATTAGCTGATTTCAGCCAAAATCATTGGCTGAAACTCGTGCTGCGTCCAATCACAGTGCGGGTCAGAGGTGGGATTGCGCATGCGCGCCCCAAACCGAGAAGAAAGCCAGCAGTGTTTATTGACCTTCCTGAGCCTGCACCTACCGGCAATTGGTTAAGAATGCACCCATTAAACTCGTTATAAGTGACCCATTATATCCACCTTCTTTTTTTCATTTCTAGGAGCCTGAAGAGGAAATTCCCCCATCGCTTCTTTACATCTGACGACAATGCATTCTGGCCCGGGCAGCTGGTGGAGAAACTCCGCTTCTACCTTCCGCAGGCTGCTGGATCAGATCCACACCATTCATTGACAAACAGCCAGGTCACCCGCCCAGGATGAGACCCTCCATCTCCTCCTACCACCTGAGCGTTTCCTGTGACATCAGATGTCATTAAAGATTAAATCTGATCATTTGTTGCCTCCGCTTGTTCAACCATCATCATCATCATCATCATCATCATCATCAAATGTTTAAATAAAACGTTTCTGCTTTTATTACATAGACCTAATGATGTCATCACTGGGTCCCTGCGCTTCTCTATGCAGTGCAGGTAAATCATGGCTGGCAGGGTGCTGTACATGGCTTCCTGAAAACATCACATCCTTCTGCCTTGGTACTCCTCTCAAGAGCCCTCAGTCCTGATGGAAGCAGTGGACTGGCCCTTGGAAGTAGTTATGCAAATATAAAAATGCTATGATGGGTGGGTGTCGACCTGGAGGAGTGGGCGTTCCTAGGCAGGATGTATTTGCATGCAGACCACCTGAAACACCCGGTCACATTGGGTGCGACTTGGCATGCGATTTGCAAATTGTATGCCAAGTCAGACCCTATTGTTTGCTATTAGAGCGGTCAGGTCGGTGCGGTTCCGACTTGGTCAGAGCCGCATCGATTTCTAAAGTTTTCGTTGCGATTTGCATAGATATCTGTGTCAGACGTCTTGCAAATCGCAATGAAATTGGGAGGTCACCCGATTTTTTAAATTATGCGACTTCACTGTAAGTCGCACGATTTCAAAGTCAGGCTTGATGTGAATGGAGGGTAAGACTTGGTTCACACTGAATGCGATTTAAAATCACGCGTTTTGTTTGCGATTTCTGAAGATTTGCTTGCAACTTGTAAAGATTTACCAGCGATTGCGTATCCATTGCGTTTTGCAGTGCGATTTCTATTGTAGTCTATATGTGAAATCACAACAAACTGCAGAAAAAGTAATACAAGAACTACTTTTGAAATGGCGCTGCAGCAAATCGCACGTGTTAAGACACTCGCATTCATTAGAACCGATTTCAGGTACGATTTCAATTCCCAAATCGCGCCTGAAATCACGCTAACACCCCAGTCACATTGGGTGTGACTTGTCATGCGATTTGCATGCTATGCGACTTGCAAATTGCATGTCAAGTCGCACCCTATTGTCCGCAATTACAGCGGTCCTATGGTTGGAGCTGCACCGATTTCTAAAGTAGTACATGCACTACTCTTGGTGCGATTTGCATAGACCTCTGTGTCATATGTCTTGCAAATCGCACCTGAAATTGGCAGGTCCCCTGACTTTGAAATTGTGCGACTTTACTGTAAGTCGCACAATTTCAAAGTCAGGCTTAATGTGACTGCAGAATAAGTTGCTGGTCACATCGCTGCGATTTAAATTTGCGTGATTTGTGTGCAATTTCAGCGTGACCTTGGGTGCGATGTCTGAAGACTTTACACCCCGGTCGCATCCGGTGCGACTTGTCATGCGATTTGCATGCTATGCGACTTGCAAATCGCATGCCAAGTCGCACCGTATTGTCCGCAATTACAGCAATCATATCGGGGCGGTTCCGACTTGGTCAGAGCCGCACCGATTTCCAAAGTAGGGCATACACTACTTTTGGTGCGATTTGCATAGACCTCTGTGTCACATGTCTTGCAAATCACAATGAAATCGGCAGGTCACCCAAATTTTGAAATCGTTCGACTTCACTGTAAGTCGCACAATTTCAAACTCGGCTTTGATTTGACCGGGGTGTAAGTCACCGGTCACACAGCTGCAATTTAAAATCATGCAGTTTGTGTGCAATTTCAGTGCGATTTCAGGTGTGATTTCTGAAGACTTTAGTGCACACCGGTGCAATTTCAGGTGTGATTTGGGAATTGAAATCACATCTGAAATGGCATCTAATGACTGTGAATGTTGGTGTCTGAATGTGCGATTTGCTGCAGCACGATTTCTAAGGTAGTTCTTGCATTTCTTTTCACATTACTTTTTCTGCGCTTTTGTTGCGATTTCACATGCATAGAATATAATGGAAATCGCACTGCAAATTGCAAGAATCGTTGAAAATCTTCTCAAGTAGCAATAAAATCTTCAGAAATCATCACGCTGAAATTGCACACAAATTGCACGATTTTAAATCGCAGCGGTGTGACCGATGACTTACTGCTACTTTGCAGTGCGATTTCCATTATAGTCTATGTATGTGATATTGCAATAAACTGCAGAAAAGTAATGAAAGAATTACTTTGGAAATCACGTTGTAGCAAATCGCACATATTAAGACACTGACATTCTCATTCATTAGATGCGATTTCAGGTGCGATTTTAAATTCAATTTTCAATTTTGCAAATCACACCTGAAATCGCACTGGTATGACCGAGCAGTAAATACCGCATCAATGATTAACCTCTTGATACCGGCTGTACACACATATGGGGCCTTAACACTCCTCCACTCCTCCTACCACTCCATCCCCCTCAGCCATCTCCTCCTGTGCCACTACCCCCTCCCTCCTAGATTGTAAGCTCCAAGGACCAGGGCCCTCGAACCCTCGTGTATTGTATTGTTACTGTACTGTCTCATGTACTGTCCCCCACTATAATGTACAGCGCTGAGCAAACTTTTTGGCGCTATATAAATACTGTATTATAATAATAATAGCCAATCACATTGGGTCACATGCCCCAAATACCCGCCTTCGCCCCCCAGCTTTTAGAACTCTTAAAGGGCTGGTAAGAGCAGTCTTGTGACTTCCATCAGTGTCTAGAAGAGCACGGGTTAAAGCTTGTAGGAGGAGTTTTCTTTCTGCTCTAGGAGGATGCAGAACCCCTGACTTCTGGACAGTGCTGATCACATGCACTCTACCAAGAAAAAAAAAGAAAGAAAAATCTCTCTAGCAATACACACCAAACTGAGCGTGTGCAGTAGGGCTACGGGTTCAGTCTGTCTTATCAAGAGATAAGATGTGGACATTTGAACAAGAGGAGGAACAGAGAAGACAGGATCAAACAGCCTTTTTACACAATGTGGAGGATTAACCCCTTAGGTTCCACAGTGAGTATAACAAGCATGCTTAGAAAGAAAGAGAAAAAGAAGGAGGAAAAGAGAAAAAGAAAGAGAGAGAAAGAGAAAAAGAAAGAAAGGAGAAAGAGAAAAAGAAAGAAAGGAGAGAGGGGGGGAGAGAAAAAGAGAGAGAGAGAAAGAAAGAAAGAGAAAAGAGAGAGGGGGAGAGAGAGAGAGCGATGGAGAGGGAGAGGGGGGGGAGAGAGAGAGAAAGAGAAAAAGAAAGAAAAAGAGAAAAAGAAAGAGAGAGAAAAAAGAAAGAGAGAGAAAGAAAAAGAGAGAAAGAAAAGAAAGAGAGAGAGAGAGAGAAAAAGAAAGAAATAAAGGGAGGGAGAGAGATAGAAAGAAAGAAAGAGAAAAGGAAGAAGTAAGAAAGAAAGTGAGTTCCAGCAGCAAAAGAATTTTAATCAGCCGCACATCAGACCTGCAGTACCTTCAGGCGCCGCTGATGCCGTGGCGCTATTACCCTCCCCGGAAGTGGCCGAGTTCTTCTCCTGCCCGCACGCTCTCGCTCTCTCTCTTCCTCGGGCTGTCTGCAGAGAAGGCGGACGCTCCGGATCGGTGAGTGAATCTTCTTCCATCCGCCGCTTCTCTCCCGGTAGTCGGACTGTGAGTGACCCCGGCCTGTCGGAGAGGTTATAGAGGGCGGCTGTGAGGCGATATTGTGGAGGGGAGAGAGGGATAAGGTGCGGGAGTGTCATGTTACCCATGGGCCTGACGGTCGGGGAGAGGAGTATGGCGGCCGGTGCTGGGCGCTGCTCTCCTCACTGTGTATGAGAGAGACTCAGGGACTGGGGGAGGAGGACTACAAGGCCCAGCATTACACTACGGGGGGGCAGTGGAGGACTACAAGGCCCAGCATTACACTACGGGGGGGGCAGTGGAGGACTACAAGGCCCAGCATTACACTACTGGGGGGGGCAGTGGAGGACTACAAGGCCCAGCATTACACTACGGGGGGGGGGGGGCAGTGGAGGACTACAAGGCCCAGCATTACACTACGGGGGGGGGGGGGGGGGGGGGGCAGTGGAGGACTACAAGGCCCAGCATTACACTACGGGGGGGGGGCAGTGGAGGACTACAAGGCCCAGCATTACACTACGGGGGGGGGGGGCAGTGAGGACTACAAGGCCCAGCATTACACTACGGGGGGGCGGTATAGGACTACAAGGCCCAGCATTACACTACGGGGGGGAGGTATAGGACTACAAGGCCCAGCATTACACTACATGGAGCAGCATTACACTACGGGGGGGGGGGGCTACAAGTCCTGTTTTACAGCTACAACTCCCAGCATGCACACAGGTAGAGCTCTGCCCCGCACCATCGTCCCGGTACAATCTCCTTGACATCTACCAATCACCGAGGGTCTGGCTGGTGGGATACAATGTGAGCAAATCATCCCTTTGGTAAACAGAGGACCTTCACGCTGTAATGCACACTTGCTGCAAATCAAAAGGGACACATGAAGTGATTGCCATTTATTCTAAACTGCACCCCAACACATCTACAGGGAAGGAAAATGTGTATTTGCTCCCCGGCTGATGTTGAATGTTCGCCCCCTCACACAGAAACGATCGGTCTAACAATGGAATGTTCGCCCCTCACACAGAAACGATCGGTCTAACAATGGAATGTTCGCCCCTCACACAGAAACGATCGGTCTAACAATGAATGTTCGCCCCTCACACAGAAACGATCGGTCTAACAATGGAATGTTCGCCCCTCACACAGAAACGATCGGTCTAACAATGGAATGTTCGCCCCTCACACAGAAATGATCGGTCTAAAGATCGAATGTTCGGTGTATTGTAACACTGAGAGACAGAATACAACAACAAATTCAGCAGAAATGCGTCTAACAAATGATGACTGATCTGCATGTTCATGAGGGAAAGAAGGATTTGATCCCCTATCATTCAGCAGGATTTCTGGCTCCCAGGTGTCTCTCATACAGGTAACAAGCTGAGATTAGAAGCAGTCTCTTAAAGGGAGTGCTGCTAATCTCATTGTGT